AGACCATTGAGCTTATTGTGAAACGAGGGACGATAGAAGCTTATCTTATGGCGAGACTTGCTTTGTTCCTACTTGCTACTCGGCTTGGGACATTACTCATTTGTGGAACCGAATGTTTGGTCTCGAGATGGCCTTTTATCGAGAAATTCAGCGAGCTCTCGTTGGAGAAGAGAGAAAGAGTAGTTCAGAAACAATTCAGGAATTGGTTATTGACTCCCATTAGAGCTGCCTTTGTCTACATCAAATCCGCCTTCCTCTTCTGTTTCTTCTCCCGGGTATGTCTAGGATCATCTGTTTTTTTTTTTCGCTCTAAGGGCTTGTTCGAGTCACAAAGATTGTGTTTAATCCGGATTAAACAATCTGGAATCTGTCTTAATATGGTTTAACCTTTGATACTCTTATGTATTTACTATCCGAAAAACAGAATTCAAAGCTTAAAACTAAAAAAAGTAGAAAGCTAAAATCAGAATCGTTTTAAATTTGAATAAAAACCCAATCTGACCAAAAACCAGAACGGTTTCAAACCAATTCATACCGTATATTATGTTACTAATACGATATGTTTTATCTTTGGTTATTATTTCTATATATACCAAAACCCAAAAAATCTGGAAAACCAGAACCAAAGCCGTACCAAATGACTGTATACTACTATACCACTAGATTTTGACTCACGCTTAAATAATTAAATATATTTTTAATTGAATTTATATAATATTTAGACGTGTATTCTAATATTTATAAACACACAAAATGATATGTATAATAAACCTAAATTTTGATCAAACATAAATATATTTTATCTTTGTTATTTTTCATTTATTCCATTTATTAAAAATAATCATGAATTTTTGTTTTTGAATATTTTAATACTGTTTTTGACGCGGATAAAAAAATTTAGTATTATTGAAAAGAAAATAAGATATTTTTAAATATTTTCTATATTCCTTAAATAAAATTCTCTATATTAATTACCACATATTCGTTATTTCCATATATTTGTTATTAAGAATTTTTAATAATTTTTATTAGGAAATAAATTCCTTAAAACTCTCTTAGGATAGGATGACACTTAGTGTCTCCTCCATTAATATACAGAGATATGATCTTTGGCTACTATACATAAACAAACAAAATCCAAAAATCGAAAATAAACTGAACCTAAATTGTAACAAACAGATATATAATCTTTTACTTTGGTTCAAAAGAATCCAAAACCCTAAACCTAATCCGTACCAAACGGATTGATACGTGTAGATTATCATAAAAACATAGAATTCTACTATAAAAATGTAGAATTGTAACATAAAGAGATTACTTTCGTACTTAGTATACATTAAAAAAAAAAATTCTGGATTATTCGAACCAAAACTCGGATTAAAGGCGTATAAATTTTAGTAACGATTTAACTTTATTCTAAGAACAGAGCTGCTTATACAAACCTCCAAGATTCACTGGATTTTCGTTGCTCTTATGTAGGTGAGTCCAAATGGCGAAAACCCGGCATGGGAAGCCATAGGGTATGGCGCGAACCGCGACGAGAACAAACCTTCTGAAACTTATAAAGAAAGACCTCTTGAGAAAGGGATGGTGGAGACCATGAAAGAAACAGATCAAACTCTCCTCGAATTACTTGCTCAGAAAGGCCTAGAAGTGGACCAGGACCACGAGGCGATCAGAATCAAATGTGACGCTGTTGTGGTCGGATCTGGCTCAGGAGGAGGTGTGGCAGCTTCTGTCCTAGCAAAATCTGGATTGAAAGTGGTTGTTATGGAGAAAGGAAGCTACTTTACGCCATCAGATTACACTCCTTTCGAAGGTCCTGGCGTTGACAAAATGTATGAAAATGGAGGAATTCTCCCAAGCCTCGATGGGAATTTCATGGTTTTGGCTGGAGCAACTGTAGGAGGTGGATCTGCTGTGAATTGGTCTGCGTGTATCAAAACACCGAAATCGGTTCTTCAAGAATGGTCCGAGGATCAAAAGATACCTCTTTTCGCCACCAAAGAATATGTTTCGGCTATGGAGTTAGTGTGTGAGAGGATCGGTGTCACGGAGAAGTGTGAAACGGAGAGTTTTCAGAATCAGATTCTGAGAAAAGGCTGCGAAAATCTCGGGATCAATGTCGGAAACGTGTCTCGTAACTCCTCGGAGAGGCATTACTGCGGATCGTGCGGGTACGGATGCAGACAAGGAGACAAGAAAGGAAGCGACCAGACTTGGCTTGTCGACGCTGTGAGTCACGGTGCTGTGATTTTAACTGGATGTAAAGCGGAGAGATTCATACTCGAAAAGAACAGTTGTACCGTAGGAGGCAAGAAAATGAAATGTTTGGGAGTGTTGGCGAAATCTTTAAACGGAAACATAGTGAAGAAGCTAAAGATTGAAGCTAAAGTAACGGTTTCTGCAGCGGGTTCTCTTCTAACACCTCCTTTGATGATCTCTAGCGGGTTGAAAAACCGACACATCGGTAAAAACCTTCACCTACACCCTGTTCTAATGGCATGGGGTTACTTCCCGGAGAAGGAATCTTCTAACTACAATTTCCAAGGAAATTCCTACGAAGGCGGAATCATAACATCAATGAGCAAAGTGTTATCAGGAGATTCAGAAGTTAGAGCCATCATAGAGACACCAGCACTAGGACCAGCTTCATTCTCGGCGCTATGTCCTTGGACCTCAGGGATTGACATGAAGAAAAGAATGTCTAGATACTCAAGAACCGCAAATCTTATAACGATAATTAGAGATCGCGGGTCAGGAGAGGTGAAAACCGAAGGAAGGATAAGCTACATTGTAGATAAAACCGACAGAGAGAATCTCAAAGCCGGGCTTAGACAATCCTTGAGGATACTCATTGCAGCTGGAGCAGAGGAAGTGGGAACTAACAGAAGCGACGGTCAAAGATTGATATGCAAAGGGGTTGATGAGAAGTCGATCGAGGAGTTTTTAGACTCGGTGAATGCAGAGGAAGGGCCAAAGTCGATGACCGAGAAATGGAATGTGTATAGCTCAGCTCATCAGATGGGAAGCTGTAGAATTGGAGAAGATGAAACAGGAGCCATAGATCTTAATGGAGAAACTTGGGAAGCTGAGAAGTTGTTTGTGTGCGATGGAAGTGTATTGCCGAGTGCTATTGGCGTTAATCCTATGATCACAATCATGTCTACTGCTTATTGTATCTCCACAAGAATCACTAAGTCCATGACCAAAGGTTTATCTCATTGAAGGAAATGGTTTCGATCCTTGTAACTAGTTTATGTATGTAACTAGTATCTACTCATCAAATTCTAATAAAACATGGCTAGTCAATGAAATTTCTCATTTTTTTCGTATTATTTCTCCTAGTGAAAAAGTAAATCATACTCGTTAGAATTTGTAACCAACAATGATTATTTGCTTAAAGGATATAGAAAAACTAAATAATACGAGATTACTCTGGCTTTCGACCTTACATGGTTACTTAGAAAAGAAAATATAAATTAGACTATTCTATAGTGATATCTTTTTTGTTGATTGTCCAATTCTGCCACGAAAGAAATTTTATGGTGTCAAAAAAAAACAAAAGAGATTTTATAGTCTATAGAGATTGTGCTCCTAAAGTCTCGATCACGAAGTAGGAGGTATCGGGGAAATAATTTTAGAGAAGTGATAAGATAAACAAATAACTTGAGCAAATAGAGACATTCTTTATTAGAAAAGAAAGAAGAGTTAAACATAAACTCAAAATCAAAATTTACAGAAATCAATCTATGAACTTGGAAGTTAAATTGTCTTGTTCTTGGAACGTTTTACAAGTCAAGAATCCATTAGTCCCCTGAGTTTTTTTTTAAAGGATAAATGGTGACGCAATTCCAGAGTTTCCCAAAGGGTTTTTCTCTGATATGGCTACATCGATGCAAGAGCCGAAATGCTTCGTCCTCTATATCCTGAGAACCTGGTTCGAGACTGAAACCCTCCAATTTATATATTAATCTTACCTTTATTTAACCGTCTGAGTCCATGTCACGGAACGGTAACGGTACGGTCTTCACTGCCCTAAATTGGCCTACATTGTTCAAATGCTCATTTTCCAATCTGTAATTACAAATTCTATACTTAGTAACTTCCAAAATCAAGTTTAACAACAAGTATCAAGACCTAGGTTTGGTTTTTTACCTGTAAAAGTTCCAGTGGCCTCGGCGAATGACTTCAAGCGACGCCAATAAGAAATCTAACAAATGAGACTGAACAGGACTGACCCTGAATCTCATAATTGTCTCGATCCAAGCAACACGCAACACCAAATTCAACGCCTGAAAAAAAATTGAAATCGATCTCAGTATTTAGTAAAAAGGTTAACTTGTGAAACACGTTAAAAAGATGATTTGATTGACTTACAATGGAGAGATAGTAGATATTCTTGTTCCTGAGAACTAAATCGTCCCTTAGCCATGGATTTCTTGACTTAGGGTTCAGAAGACCCCAGTCCTTGACAAAGTCCCAGTATAACTGATAAATCGTGGCCACAACGGAGCTCACAAGCACGACGGTTAGCCACAAATCGGTGTTCTCTCTTGCGTAGGTTATGCGGACTCCGGCAGCCACCATTGCAGACACGTATTTCCCCATGTTTACTAAGTGATCAGTGTTCGATTCGTCCCACCATCTCCTTATACACTGTAAAATGAATGTTCATAAATGTTATTTCAAAATTTTCTAAGGGCTTTGATATAAAGAAACCCTAAGTGGCCTTACTTGCATGGCACGCCAAAAGTAGGGTGAGAAAGAGATTAAGTAAGCAAGCTCTCTATAGATTCTTCCGTTTTTGCAGGTATTGTATTCATGTGTTCTAAAGCTTTGAGCCATGAAGTAACAAGCGGTTGACTCGATGTGTCTAAGCAGTGGAATCTGAATTGAACATCAATAAAAATCAGAAAACGATTAGTGGGTCAATTCTATGTTATTACACCATGAATCGAAGTTGCATTAGTAAAATTACCTGGCTAGTAAGTTGATCAGCCATGAAAAAATCAACCATCAAAACCTAACAAAACCAATAAAAGATATCAAGAATCTGCTTATTTCTTGTGCCGGAAGTCACCAAAACAATTCTAATTTGTTACCTTGTAGAAAGGTGAACAAGCAATGTTCCTTAGAATACGAATGAAGCAGAATCTTGTAGGACGATAAAATGTGTCGAAGGGGCATATCAAAATACAAATAAAGATCTGTCAAACACCCAAGAAAGAAAGAAAAAATCAGCGTTTTTGAATTGCGTTGCGATTGAAACGCTATATGACGATAATTATCTAATTGATTTGATTACCAAGAGGAGGATGCCTGGGATGGTATCAACTTGGCTGGCTGAGAAACCGGCGGCGCGGAGGATGAGATGTATGACCATAGCGGCTACGACTGCGGTCATAAACGTGGTTCCCAAAAGAAACGCGTCTCGGTAACGCAACGCTGTGTTTGGTGACAGCTCGAATATGAAAGTGTAGTTTATCCTCGTGTTTTTCCACATGAACAGATTGCATCCGTACATGAACATGTGTAGACTCAGCAACGCAAAAACACTGCGTTTTGAAAATGAAAAACAATCAAATTATCAGTATATAATTACACAAGTTTTCTAATTGTTTGCTTTCTTCAATTGGTTATTCACTCGCAAATTGGCCAAAAACACTAAATTCGCGTGTATAATTCATAGTTATTTGGCTAATTAAACAAAAATATTTATTAGAAATACTCTTTATTGTTTTAAAATACCTGAAAACAGGATAAACAGTCTCCAAATATGAAACTTGAGCACCAGAGGTGAAGATTCCAGAAAGATGGGCCAGTATTACGTAAATAGTAAACAGTGAGACGAAGCAACCCGTAAATAATCCTGCAAAAACACAGTTTCAACTTGTCAAAAATTCTAGGTGAATTTTTTCTATAAAGTTAAATTCAATTC